AAAATCAGATGATTCTACCACTACAACAACAATAATACAGATCATGATGTTACTATAGCCTCATATCAAAAAAAAAAGAATATAGGACAAAAGAATTGGATTCATGTGAGATTGCACACTAGCTAGACAGTTCACCTCACGTTCTAGATTTGAATGAGTTTTTATTTCTCCAAGAATCATTTCTTTTAGTTCATATATTTCTCTTTTAATTATGAATATATCAGTTAATAAGTTTTGTGTACGTTCATTTTCTTTCCATTTTTTTGCATTCATGTAATCATTAATTCCTACGCATATCACATCCCAATGCTCCAGTTCGCAACCTTCTTGACAAGAAGTTTTCAAATGATCCAGTAATATCTTTCTTGATTTTTCTCTGTCTTCTTGTCGTCCTGGTTCATTTTCTTTAAATGGGGGATTGTTCACATATATGATTCCATTGCAGCGATTAATTATATCAACAATTTTTTTCTTTTCATTTTTCAAATCTTTTTTATCTTTATCACATTTTTCAGGGTCGTCAAAATAGTCAAATTTACTTCTCACAATGGTTGTGTTTTTAATGATTTTTTTTTCAAAAATCTTCTCAGCTAACTCAAAAAGTTCTATTTCTTCCTCGGTAAATTTTCCTCCCACTACCACAAATATTTGTTTTATCCCTCTTTTCATTGAGTAAATAGCCTTAGCCAACTTTAACATGACCTTATCATCTGATAAATTAGTATCACCGACTCCAACAGTATCAATCACTCGATATTTTGTCCCTTCCAATTCAAAATCTTTGATTTGGAAGTCTTTAGTTTGGCTAACTGAACCTCCACTTTCTCCAAATTCATCAGAATTGCTGATTACATTAGCCAAAGCAGATTTGCCACTTCCTGTTCTTCCAATTATCAATACATTATTTTTCATATCATCCTCATGGGTTTCAAATTTATATTTGCATTGATATATTTCTCCATCCTCATTAGCTTTAATACTTTCGACTTTATTCTCAACTTCTTCCTTTGTTAGATAAAACCCTATCAAGTCAGGAAATCTCTTAACTGCTAATATTTCCACTCCGTCTCCACCATCATCTTCATAGTTAATTAATCTAATTGCATATAAGCGAGTAACTTTATTAATAACTATCACGTATTTTTTGTCATGGAAAAAATAAATAACATTCTTAATTTTGCCACGAATATTAGCTTTGTTTATTATTTCTTTGTCTTTTTCTGTTGGTTTAAATTTGGGCATAATATTTATATATTTTAATATTATAGAACAAAATCTCAAAACTGACAGTTAATGAAAATAAATCGTTGCTTTCAAGGTTGATTTGATTAATTTAAACTTGCAAAACAATTACTCTGTTCGAAAAGTAAAAATGAGCTCAGTTAACTTGACTGATTGCTCGCCTGGGCCAGGAGAAATTTTCGAGCTTTTATAGTAAGGATATTTATCAAAGGAAACAAATGGAAAATTTCATTATTCCTATATAATTATTTTTGGTTGCGTGTATGAAATTCGTCCAACTACTAGTACAAAATAATAATTGAATAACTTTCCGTATTAGTATGCAAAACACCCCAACATCAAATTTCGATTAGTACTAATACTAACGCGTAACGTGATACGCAAACTATAGTGATAATGGACTTTTGATTTATTTGACACAATTAGAGTTAATCTATGAAAATATTGAATCTGATAATGATGACTGGAAAGATTTCTTTAACTATAGAGTTAGAATTAGCATCTTCAAAACTAATTAGAATTAGCAACAAAAGTGATACTCTGGAATCTAAAGGAACAGCCAAAATAGCAACTTCTTTACAGGTAAAAATTATTAGTAACATTGAAGTCTTTAAATTACAACAAAATCATTTATATTCAAATGATAGTGATATTTGATTTTTTCTCTAGAAATAAATTGCGCAGGATCTTCATTTTTGCAGAAATGTCCATTCAATTAATTGGGTCCTTGGATCGCCAGGCCGGGCAAACCAGTTAGTATTTTAAATGATGAATTGTAAATATCTTTATCCAAAAATTCAACCTCAGGATTCCAGATTTTATTAATCACATTTCTGAAATAATTTTGGATAAAAGATCAGCAAAGTCATATCTAGAAAAGATGGGATATTGAAAGAAAAATGGCCTCTTTGTAATGGTTAGATTTTTTACCCACCAAAAAATGGTACCATATTACTTTCAATATAAAAAATATTGTATTTGATGATAAGAATGGAGCTTTTATTGTAAGTTATATTCAATTAATTTATTGACTCGATTTTCCCTAAAAATAGTGGTATTTTATGTTTCTCATCAAATAAAATATATACTTGCGCAAATTCCCTATAATTGTCAATAATGTATAATCCACGTATTATTATGTATATTATAGCTTATTTTTTTACCGCTTAAGCATTACTGGTACTAATAATAACAGCAGCAACAGCAATGATGACGGCAAAAAAAAAACAAGTTAAATTTCTCGATTTTGCTGGAGAACACCACTCCAATATCAAATGGAGTTTTTGATCTAAAATTGCAAGACAAAAAAAGGCCAAGCAATGTATATATTAGTGTGCGCGTGCACAAATAAATTTTACTTTTCAAAATAGCATCTTGAGTTGGTCAACATTAACAGCACCACCATTGTCACTGTAAATTCATAACATAAAGAATATTTTGTTAGGTGTTTATATATATGATATAGATATAATAATATTTAAATTATTTGATTTATGAATATTCAGTTGTAATTGTATTACGAGTTTTTTCTCGTTTTTGTTCTAAATTTTTTGTACATTAATCAATTAGTTTTACTATTTCCCTCGACTTTATAACGGAATAATTTAATTTATATTAAATAGGATTCATTGCAATTTCTCATCAATCAATCAATCATCACTATCATCACTATCATCACTATCATCACTGCTAACATTTTTCTCAATCATTTCCACATCGTCGCCATCACTCATATCACTCATATCACTCACGTCGCTTATATCATTCACATCATCATCATCATTAGACGAAATACTCATAGCATCTTCTAATTCAATATCTTCGTCGTCGTCGTTGCCATCGTCATCATCGTTGTCGTCGTCGTCGTCGTCGTCGTCGTCATCATCATTATCAAGATCAGAATCTAATTCTGGTAGACCTTGTTTCATTGCCTTCCAAATTTCTTTCTCGATTTCTTCCTCTTCGTCTGATCCAACATTTTCATCGGCAAGTATCATTGTATCTACTTCATCATCATCACCATCCTCATTTGTTAATTTTTTCTTTTTCTTTGTAGGTTTTGAATTCTCATGTTTTTGTGTAAAATATTTATGGAAAAATCTCTTTGTAAATAAGAAAAAATTAATTATTAAATAATAAAGGCTAATTAAATAATTAAATTACATAAATTTTTTCTCAATTACATACTTGATCAGCAGGCACATCATCCAGTTTTTTCCTCCAAAATTCTTCCGAATTAACATTCAATTCATCCTTACCGATTCCTGCACCTTTTTTCATAACAACCATACCTTGTTCTGAAATAGCTTTGACGCTAGGTTGTAGTAGAACGCTTCCACCACCTTTGACACTATCATTTTTTTTAGGATTACGATAAACAAATCTATCCAAGAAATGAGTCAGTGTGTGTAAATGAATTTCTGGTTGTGAGTTAATTTTTATGTTGGTGATTATATTTTTTGCATATAGCGAAACAGTTGGATGGAAATGATCAAGAAATGAACACTAATGGCGATTTTTTAAATAAACATGACATTAATTTATAAATAGAATTACCACCATAGTTCATTAATTAATTAATTAAATTTAAAACACGATAATTACCAATTCCCAGATACAAGTTTGATCTGCATTGCAATATTTTGGATCTCTTTTACGACCATCATATATCCTGTCATTAGCACTAGATTTAATTGGTTGAGCCGATGATTTGATTGGTTGAGGTGTTGCAAATTTTCTTTTCTTGTTTTTTTTTAAATTTAATTGTTGCCGTTTTTCATTTTCATCTTCATCTGATGGAATGTCTACAAAATGTTCTTCGTCATTTTCCTCAGGTTGATCAATCAAAGATCTAAGACTTGGTTTTATATTCAATAACTTTATAAATTATCAATTATCAATAACAACAGCAATTAATTTATAAAATTCTGATGAAATATAATGATCATGAATAAACAAGCAATTCAATTTAAATTTCTATAGATTACCTCAGACATCATATAAAAAGCACCACAAATAAAATGTGGTTGTTGATGATTGCATATTTGTACTAGTCTTTTGAGAAAAGCTTGTATTCTACTAATCAGATTATCATTTTTCAAAGCTTTAAAGAAAAGGTTCAAGTACAATGCTTGTTTGGAGGAATGTATTAGACGTGGATCAAGTAATGAATCATAAAGTGTTCGATAAAATCTATCAGAAAATTCCTGGACAAAGAATATAAGAATAAGTAAATAATATTTATTTCTTTAAAAAAAAAAATTAGAGAATAAATAAAATGACTTATTTACTTCTTTTGTTAATGATACTTGATATATTAACATTAATGCCTGTATACTTATATTGAAATTTCCAATATGAGTAAATTTAAATAATATATCAATATTTTCTTTATACCTAATAAAATAAACATTGCACATAAAATTAATATTAATACAACAAATAATAATAATAAAAATAATTAAAATAATAATTATAATTATAATAATTTAATATTTAACTACATACATGTTATCATCTACTTTAGCGAATTTGAATGCCCTGTTAATTCCTGTTAATATTGCTGACACCATTTTTGAATCTATAAGATCCTGATCAATATTTCCATTTTCATCATCAACAACTTTATAATTAATATTTTTCCTCCTTCTCATATTATTATTATTATTATTATTATTATTATTATTATTAAAATTCTTTTGATTATTTTTATTATTGCCATTTTTGTGCCCTTGTGATTTATAATTATTATTTTTATTATCATCTTTTTGGAATGATTTTTTTTTTCCAGTTGTTTGATTTTGATTTTTTTCATTTAACAATTTTCTAAACATTACAAAATAAATTTCAATCAATTTATTTGCAACATCCTTTTCATGGTTTTTAAGGATGGTTTGATTTAATGATATTATTCCATAATATTGTGTGTGATGATTTGCTCCAGGTGATAATATTAATTGTTCTATTTCTTTTATTACATCTAATTTCTTTTTTGGATGTGATTCATAAAGTTGATTTATCATAAATGAAGCTTTAGATGCCACTTTACGGTCTGAATCCCCCTATATATAATAATTAGATTGATATAATAATTTTAAATTAAGGAAAGAAAGATATATAATTGGGTTATATTGGTATTTCTATTTACCAATTTAAATACTAATAGTCTTAATAAATTTTGTTCTTGTTCTGGTTTATCTCTATACAATGTAAAAATTATTTTAACCATTTGCTGCCTTACATGATCCAACACATCATGTGCCAACGACTACATAAATGAATAAAAATTTAATTAATTATTAATTTTTATAATTAATTAATCATTTTCATTGTTCATGATCCTTATGTGAACAAATTATAATGAATTAATCATACTTCAACTATTTTAATAAAATTAAAATAAAAATTTTTCAAAAAATCTTCAAATGCCCAAATTATTAAATGTTGAGGTGTCACATTTGTCCCATTAAATGGTTGATCACTGAAATATCTATGTAAAAAAAAAATATATATCAATATAAACATTTATTGATGTTTATATTTAAAAAATTAATCAAAAAGAAATTTAATAACTCGCTTAAGTTTTCTATCAGGTAAAACCGATTCAATCATTAAACTCATTATAGTGAATATTGATTGAACTGCTTCATTTCTACTTTTTTTTTCTGCCATTGCAAGTAATGTCTCAAAATATTTTACAGAATGAAGCGGAGACTCATCGACCAGAATAGATAATGTTGATAATTTATCATTTAATGTACCAGATTTTAACATTGTTGTATAAAAATTACGATCATCTGATGATAATTTTTGTCTAAAATTTGTTTCATATCTTTCATTCTCTTCTGTCAGTAATTTCTTTGCTTCTGTGTGTTTGTCTGTGCTATTGTTATTATTGTTTGTGGAAGATTGATGAGAGTCTTCTAAGTTTGAAAGTTTTATAGCATACCATCTTTTTTCTACGTCAACATACTAAGACAACAAATTTTCAATGTGGAATTTAATTAATTGATTAATTGATTAATTGATTAATTAATAATCGATAATAATATTCAAAATGTGCAATTACCAATTTTGGATTTGATCTAATGGGTTTCTTTGATTTATTGCTCATTTTTTTTTCAAATGAAAAAAAAAGTAGATCCAGAAAATTTTTATTTATATCACGTGAGTTGGTGATATGTTTATTTATATTTCTTTAATATTAACACGAAATCAATCTCTGGCCTTTTTTTTTTTGAAGAACTTGTTAGTAGCCCAAATTTAGCAAAGAAAAAATAATAAAAAAATTTTAATCAAAAAATAAAAAATTGTAAAATCAAATAAAACATACTATAAGTAAAGTAAATATGACACCATCGTACACTGAATCAATTTATTTCCCTCCACCGCCTTTTTCACCTTCTATTAATCCTCCAATATATAATAAAAATAATAATAAATTACCAATGCCTCCCATATTACCATTACCACCGCCCTCGCCACCACCCTTGGTACTTATTGAAGTTCTTCATTTTTACCTAAAAAAAAAAAAAACATAATTTTGGTTTTTATTTATTTATTATTGTAATATTATTAGGAACAAAAGCCACTTAATCCAACACATTATTATCTACAATCTGATATTAACAGTACCGATGATTGGTTTATGCATCTTAATCGACACTTAATCGATTCGTAAGTTGTAATTTTTTTTTTAAATGTAATTTTATGGGTGATTTATTAATTAAAGAAATTCAAATTCCAATATATGTTCATTATATATACATTTATCACACACACAATATTTATGTAGACCTAACAAGCATTTAATAAATGACAAGTGTATAGCAATTGATTGTGAGATGGTCGGTGTTGGGTATAACGGTATAATTTCAGAGCTTGCTAGAGTTAGTATAGTGAATTATTATGGAGTAACATTAATGGATAAGTATGTTAAACCAAAGCAAAAAGTTACAGATTATAGAACTCAATTTAGTGGAATAAATCCTGGCGATTTAGTAAATGGTAGATTTATTTATTGTGATATGTATATATACACATATATATATACACGTAATTAATTATTATGATTTATTTTTTCTCTCCTTCCCTCCTTTCCTTTTTTTTAAAAAATAGCTTGTGACTTTAAAGATATTCATAAAGAAGTAAAAGACTTAATGGAAGGAAATCTAGTAATTGGACAATCTCTAGGATTTGATTTTAATGTAACAATAAAACACAAATTTTTACAGCTACTTTATTAGTATATATATTATTAGATTTCTTTAAAGAAAATATATCGTTATTAATAGGTTCTAAAATTGTATCATCCCATCTCAATGGTACGTGATACTTCATACTATTATCATATAATATATGATGTTACACGTCAGTTAACGACACCTTCGTTGAAAAAATTGGCCAGGGAAGTCTTAGGATTAGAAATACAAGAAAAGACCCATGATTCCGTTAGTTTATAATAAATTTATTTCATCTATTTATTTGATTAATTTTCTTTTGTTGATTTAATAGAAATTAATAATACATTGAACTTTTTAATAGGCTGAAGATGCAAAAACCTGCATGTTACTTTATAGATTAAAACAAGATGAATGGGAAATTGCATTGAAAACAAAAAAAATTAATATTGTATTGAATGTGAGCAGATGTTTTTTGTGTGGGTCATATAGTCATGTCAAAAAACAGTGTCAACTAAATAATAAAAAATTTATGCAAGTTCATAATAATATTAACAACAAATAATATGAAATAAATAAAAATATTGTCTTTTTGACTATATATATATATATGGTATAATAATAACAATTAACTTTTTTTCTTGTTAAAGATGATGAATCAGAAACTTTTCAAAGAGTTATTTTTTACCATTATATCTTGATAAATATCATTCATCATGAATAATAATGACAATGATGTTACAAGTGAGGAATATTAAAAACAAAAATATATACTAATAATAGTATTTAAAAGAATATTTACAAAAATCTAAGAACGCATTATATTAATGCTTTGGGGATTATTTTATGTAACTTTTTTTAAGATGTAAAAACAGAAAATTGATATTTAATAATATTTTTATTATTTTTTTTAGTTTTTTTTGGTTTTTTTTTTTTGAAATAGTAATGTAATAATAATAAAAATAAATAGTAAATAAACAACGACAACAACAATAGTTGTAATGGTAATAGTAGCTGCAGTATTTATGCATAATATTGTAAAGAGGTTTTCTTTTTAGCCATAACTTCTTGAATACCTATACAGTCAAAATAATGAAGATCAATTATATAATAATTAAAAACCAATATATATATATATATTAATAAAAGGATAATCAATTACCATCCATGAAATCTTCATGACTCAATTCAGTAGCACCTCTTCTTAAAGCCAACATACCAGCCTCAACACACACAGCCTTACACTGAGCACCATTAAATTCATCACAACAACGTGATAATTCATCATAATTTACATCACTACCAACAGTCATTTTACGTGAATGAATTTGAAGAATTCGAGCACGAGCTTCTTCATTTGGTAAGGGGAATTCGATTTTACGATCAAGACGACCAGATCGTAAAAGTGCTGGATCCAAAATATCAATACGATTTGTAGCAGCGATTACCTAACAATTAAATAAATAAATAGATATTTAATATATTTATATATATGATACTTTTTCTTGGCAAAAAAAATAATTAATAAATATGAAACCTTAATTCTTTCATCACTGCTAAAACCATCAAGTTGATTTAACAATTCCAACATAGTTCTTTGCACTTCACGATCACCACTTTTCTCACTATCAAATCTTTTTGTCCCTATAGCATCCAATTCATCAATAAAAATAATAGCAGGTGCCTTTTCTTTAGCCAAATTAAATGCATCACGTACAAGTTTAGCACCATCACCAATAAACATCTAATAACAATAATGACAGTATTAATAACAGCAGCAATAAAATATAAATAAAATATTGAGCATGATTATGATTTTTATTTATTTACCTGTACTAGTTGTGGACCAGCTAATTTTAAATATGCAGAGTTGGTTTGTGCAGCACAAGCTCTTGCCAGCAATGTTTTGCCAGTACCAGGAGGACCATACATAAGAACACCTAATTTAATCAATTTGAAGAACATTAATCTATGATTTAAATATTATCATCATCATTCTTCTCTAATAAAGATTACCTTTTGGTGGTTTTATACCCAAATTTTTAAATCTTTCTGCATGCGTCATCGGTAACACTATAGCTTCTACCAATTCTTCAATTTGTTTATCAAGGCCACCGATATCATTATAATCTTCCGCTGGTTTCTCATCAACTTCCATAGCTTTAACACGAGAATCATATCTATAAACGAATAATAATTTATTATCATTATTTTTTTTTTACAACAATAAATAAAATAAATCAATTTACTCCGCTGGTAATGTGTCTAATACTAGATAACTATCTTTATTTACACCAATTAAGTCACCTGGTTTGATGGTTGCGGGATCAACAAGACCAATTAAAGGCAAGAAAATAGTCTAAAATAAAAACTATTTTTAATGGTTTATAAAAAAACAATGAAAATCTAAAAAAAAAAATAGTTTAAATTTTACTTGTCGTGTAGATGTCTTGATCACGGCACACTTTCCTTTACGGTGTGCATCAAGATCTATATTTGCACCATCTTCTTCTGGTTCATCATTTGGATCCATATCAAGCAACTAATCATTAGTAACAATGGTTTATTAATAATATCTTTGATTATAATATTTACACTAAAAATTAATTACTAGAAATTAAAATATTTCCAACAGATCTGAATGAATAGTCAAAATCAATATAAAAACCAACCTCAACAATATTACCAACAAGCCACGGTAATTGTTTATTAACTTTTATTTTTTCTTTATTATCCTTTATTTTCTCTCTCATACTGCCTTGTTCATGTGTTAGACGCATATGTTCTGATTTTAACATCTAGTTAATTAAATGATGATAAAAAGCGTGTAAGTAAACATTTCAAGATTAAAATTATCAATCAATAAATCAACCAATAAATCAATCAATTAATCAATTAATCAATCAATTAATTAATAAATCACCAATCAATTAATTAAAATATTGATAACGATCATGATAATAAATAATGATAATAACATGTAATAACCTTCATTTCATTGTCAAGTAAACGTGTGCGATTATTAATATCCTCAGGGTTAGATCTTAAAATTTCTTGGCCAAGTTCTTCTAAACCTTCTTCGTCTGCTTTTTCCCAAAGTTGCTTATCTTCAAGAGTAGACATTTTATATTTTTATGTCTTTTTTTAAAAGCGTGAAAAATGAGGGAGGTATTTTTCTGCCTTATCCATCACTCACGTGCATATTAAACATTTTGCACGTGGGGCGTGAATAATTATTTTTCATCCAATGAAATACAAGTCTTACATTTTGGAATTGATGGATGGATGGATATCTAACTAAACAAACTATTACTATTATAGGTTTTGTTGTAACACCTACAAGGCGAATAAATATATATATGTATATATATAGGTTATAGGTATATGAAAGGTAATAATTATAATGATTCTGATGAGTGTGAAAAAGTGGTTGTGGCTGCTGCTTATCAATAGTATTGTGGATGGTGGAAATATAAGCACAAGTAGACACATCAAAAAGAACCTTCTACTGCTGAAATCATAATATTGCGAGATCGCTTTTTGGTTAATGCTCGTCAATTAATTTATTTACGAATTTATCCAGCTTACTGCCCCTTTCTTGTACCTAGAAATCCTCGACGAATCTGTAAATACATTTTATGGTACGATTACAATAATAAATATGGCCCTTTTAAGGTTTCTTCTTTATTTACGTTTATTTTTCTTTGGCCGTTAAAAAGCCTTGTTAGTCTGACCTCTTTAGAAGACTCTTTAAACTACTTATTTAACAGCCGTACGTTTTACAACAATAAGAATAACGACTTACACAGGAACACAAACTCTTTTACATGTAAACAAAAACGTTCACACTTTACAAAAATCAAACTTTTGCTTCTTAGTAAGCAAATAAAACCTTGCTACCTGTTGTTAACACTAGACTGATTAATCAACACTAATAGCAAAACTCAGAGTTCTATAACACTCTGATAACAAATGGACGATTAAATCCGCCGTTTAATTTCAGACCACAAAAGTGTTTTATTAGGCGAAAGAATTATTTTATGAAGATGTTTTGTAAAGGAGCCATCTTTAATTATCTGGTGCCATTAAGTATGCTTACAGATTTATCTAGATACAAGAAAAAGGCAGCAAGCGAAAACCAATGTAAATTCGTAAACTAATTGATCGACAAGCATCGAATTATTGTGAGCTGCTTGCAATTAATTCAAGTATTCAGTATTAACCAAAAGGCTACCATTTAAAAGGTTTATTATTATTATAATTTAGCTTTAAGGAATGAAATAAAAATAAAATAAAAAGACAACATTAGTCATTCATCAATTCTTTTTCTTTTACGATTATTACCATAATCTAACATTTATTAATTAATTAAAGAATATCATTAGTAATTGATAGTAATTCCAAGTAATTAATAATGAATTCTTATTCGCCTTTGGGTTATACATGCAGCCCAAAGTATTTTGACACTGTCATAAAGGGAGTTACACTTATGTTTTTAATAGTGAGTGTCGTAATTGATTTCTGCTTTCTACCATCAAAATTGGAATAATTTTGACCATCGAACCAATTTGGGCTGCATGGCAGATCCTTTGTTGCAAGAAACTAGATTTTTGCCTCGCTGAATGAGTTTAAAATAGACATTGATGTACTAGTATCGATCATAGACTCGGATCACACTATACGACATACCCAACTTAGTAACAGGTGTCGTCGCCAACTATTCATTAGGAAACCCCATTATAACAAGATAATAATGGGTCCCCAGTCATAGAAGTCGCCAACTCACAAGTCGCGTGCCCGCTTCGGAAATGTTGTCCACTTGATATCAGTCACGGGACATGTCATAGTAACATATAGGAGTTGTAAAACAGTAAATTTTTGATAACAATCAAATGACTTCTAATCCCCCATTTAATACCCTTGCTGTGTAGCAACCATCGCCAAATTTGAAATGTAACTTTATCATATGTATCTGCTTTAAGAAAATTTTTAAAGCAGGCTGTTAATAAAATCGAAAATAATCTGACCTTCAAAGTCAAATTTTGCCTTTATATTCATATGTGTAAAATTTTGTTTGACGCGTCCAATTGCAAGTATAGGTAGAAATAAATGTCCAAGTATTATATTATTATGAATATTTACAGATTTTGATCACTTAGGTATGTCCTTTATAGTAAAATTATTTATTTTAAAGTAAATATAATAAATAAATAGATATTAAAATTTTTCTTTACCTACAGTATATACAGTACATATATAATGATTAGAACATTGGATGATTGATAAAACGCTCGTTAGTATATTTTGCAAACTTCATAGATCTTGTCTTTAACACTTACTTCGATCATTCCTACACAAACTATTGAATGATTGATAAACGTTCATTTTTGTAAAACTTGTTTTGCTAGTTTCATAGATCTTGTTCTTACCACTTAATTCGATCACTCATATACAACTATTGAATAATTGATAAAACGTTCGTTAGAATATTTTGTTCATAGACCTTGTCCTTACGCTTAATTCGATCACCCCTATACAACTATTGAATAATTGATAAAACGCTCGTTAGTATGTTTTGTTCATAAATCTTGTCCTTAATGATTACTTCGATCACTCCTACACAAACTATTGAATAATTGATAAAACGTTCGTTAGTATGTTTTCTGTCCCTAACGCTTACTTCGATTACTCCTACACAAAATATTGAATAATTAATAAAACGTTTATTAGAATAATTTGTTCATAGATCTTGTCCTTAACGTTTACTTCAATCACTTCTATACAACTATTGAATAATTGGTAAAACGTTCGTTAGAATATTTTGTTCATAGATCTTGTCCTTAAAACTTACTTCGATCACTCCTACACAAACTATTGAATAATTGGTAAAACGTTCGTTAGAATATTTTGTTCATAGATCTTGTCCTTAACGTTTACTTCGATCACTTCTATACAACTATTGAATAATTGGTAAAAACGTTCGTTAGTATATTTTGTTCATAGATCTTGTCCTTAACGCTTAATTCGATCACTCCTATACAACTATTGAATAATTAATAAAACGTTTGTTAGAATATTTTGTTCATAGATCTTGTCCTTAAAACTTACTTCGATTACTCCTACACAAATTATCGAATAATTAATAAAACGTTCGTTAGAATATTTTGTTCATAGATCTTGTCCTTAAAACTTACTTCGATTACTCCTACATAGACTATTTAATGATTGATAAAACGTTTGTTAGAATACTTTGCAATCTTCATAGATCTTGTCCTTAACACTTGTAATAATTGATAAAACGTTCATTAGAATATTTTGTAAGCTTCATATATCTTGTCCTTAAAACTTACTTCTACAAACTGATAAAACGTTCGTTAGAATATTTTGTTCATAGATCTTGTCCTTAATGCTTGTGCAAACTATTGAATAATTGATAAAATGTTCGTTAGAATATTTTAAAGCTTATAAATCTTGTCTTAGCGCTTACTTCGATCACTCCTATACAAAACTGGATCTTGTCGTTGCTACTAATTATAATATTATTATTATTGATTGATGGATCTTCATATATTACAAATGTAACCAATCAAATCAATTAGCGAATTTTTATCTTTTTAATTTTTTTAAATGTTTCCTTTTAACTAAATAAAAATAAATAATAAAAATTAACAAAAGGAAGGGTCATGTCACGAGGGGTCAATACACCCAACATGAGCCACCCGCGTCAGTTCCACCTTCCTAGCACGCGGGACTTTACAGCCGGTCCAAAGTGAGGCATTGCACCTAAGGGAGCCGGACACAGGGGACCATATCCGGTACTTCATCATTGCATGACTTTTCCCTGGTCGATACTATTATACCAATTCTATGACTTATATATTAACTTTTTTTCAAGTTGTGCAAAATATGGGATACCAACCATTTCATTGGATTAAATTTATTCCATAATTTTTATTGTGTAATCTAAAAAAAATAAAATTCAACAGAAAAAGTAGACTGTTAAATACAAGATGTATGACGACATACGAAGCTTCCAAAGCAAGTTTGTAAAATATGCTGATGAACGTTTATCAATTATTGAACAGCTTGTATCGAAATAAGTGTTAAAAGTCAAGATCTATGAATCTGTTTGTAAATATATTTAACGAACGCTTTATCAATTATTCAAATAATTATATAGGCGGGCTTGGTCGAAGTAAGTGTTAAAGTCAAGATCTATTTGCAAATCAAGTTTCCAAAACGAACGTTTATTATTATAGGCGGGTTTGATCAAAGTAAGTCTTAAAGTCGAGATCTATGAAGCTGTTTGTAAAATGTATTTAATTAACGTTTTATTATTATCAATTATTCAATAATTATATAGGCGGGTTTGATCGAAGTAAGTATTAAAGTAGTCGAGATCTACGAAGTTGTTTGTAAAATATATTTATCAACGTTTTATTATTATCAATTATTCAAATAATTATATAGGCGGGTTTGATCGAAGTAAATGTTAGTCAAGATCTATGAATTTTGCAAAACGAATGTTTATCAATTATTCAACAATTATATAGGCGGGTTTGATCGAAATAAGTATTAAAGTAGTCGAGATCTACGAAGCTTTTTGTAAATGTATTTAATTAACGTTTTATTATTATCAATTATTCAATAATTATATAGGCGGGTTTGATCGAAGTAAATGTTAGTCAAGATCTATGAAGTTTGCAAAATGAATGTCCAATAAAAAAGTTGTGGGACTAAGTGACTTGCACTATATAAGGTTATGTCGAAAGATATGGTCAAGAGAAGAGTTAGAAAGAGAGTTGTTTTTCAACCAAGTCGAAAACCAACGTACAATTTAATTTATTAGACTATTTTGAAGGTTTGTCGCATACTTTCTTCCAACTTCTTAAATTTGAACCATTTGTCGAATATTTTTATTAACTCTCATATTAATATTAATACATATGTAAACTCGATAAGTCGGTCACTCGATAAGTCGGTTTACTTGATAAGTCGGTCATATGAGCTCACCCCCACATGACCGACTTATTGAGTTTGCATATGTATAAATGTAAATAATTCATTTATTTTTACGTTATCAAATTCACAATTTTGATTGGTCAATCAATGATTACATGGATTAAAATTTTGTGTTAAAACATAGCTCTAAACCTTTAATTAGTTTCGACTAAATAAAATAAATAAACATTTAAAACTAATCCACTAATTAAACTAATATGTTAGTAAACATATTCCACATAAACATAATAAACAATTGTTATCATCAATTAATTCACGCTCTCCCAAACATAATTGGTAATACATACAAATTAACATGAATTGTTGTAGAAATGAACTGTCGACGAAATGAAATAATTTTCGACGAAATGAACTTTCGACGAAACAAACTTTCGACAAAATGAACTTTCGACGAAATGATTGTCGACGAAACAAACTTTCGACAAAATGAACTTTCGACGAAATGATTGTCGACGAAATAATTGTCGATGAAGTGATTGTCGACGAAATGAATCAGACCCAATTCAGTTATAGATTACTTAGTAATGCTACAGCTTATATTTTTTAATTTACCAGAGTTACTATATAGAACAGATCTTATATTTTTTAGTTTTGATATAGATCCAAATGATTATAATTATTGTGAAGAGAATCGCACTAGATTGAATAAATTCTTAGATATAATATGTGGAAAGAAAAAGCCCAATTTATAGTTTGCATTTTAAAATTACATATTACCATTCACTTTCAGATAAAAAAAATCAGAGGTATTGTAAATTCATGCTCAAACATAATCCATTTAGATTTCGAAAGTAGTTCAGGATTTAGTGATGAAGCACTAATTACAATAGCCGAATTATACCCTCAATTTATGGGATGGTCGATGAGTAATAACTGATAAATCTCTATGTGTAATTGCCAGGTCATTTCATAAATTAGAATATCTGAACATTTCTTGTTGAAAGGAAATTACAGACAGATAATCCTTGATTAAAATTGCAGAGCCATGCCATAATTTGAAAGAATGATATTTCGCTGAAGCATATTGGATCACTGATAAATCTACAAGTTGTATCATGAACCTACACCCAAAATTACGATGCCTTGAGATTGCGTACAGTCATGGTGAAATTAATATTGCTAAAATGTCAATGCAAACATGTTACAATATAGAGTATCCTAATTTAGCGGTATGATGTTTTTCAATATATGGGACGTCATCTGAGAAAATCAGTCAATTTTTTTTTGTCATTTTTGAGACAATAATGCGGTTATATGTAATTTGAGTCAAGGAATCTTACAAATGGTCTGGACTCTGAATCAGATGATGAACCCCTCCACTTATATATATAACTGGATCAATATGAGATAATGATTTGGATTCTTTTATTTCCACATTTAATAATTTCTCAGAGAAATTGACGAAATCCACCCCTGATTAATTCATTATGGATTACAAATAATAGCAAAGAATGAGTAATTTACTTATGATTTGATTTTCTGGTCATTATACATGTATATGAATTAAGATTTCAAAGTTACTATTGGGATTCCTCTCTGATTATATCCCCAACATTCGAGATGATAGATTTTTTTTCCGAAATATTCATTATCACCCCACTGACCTTTTACATTACCGTTCTTTATGCTCTTCATTACATGCTGGACATATTTCTGGACAATCAAAAATAATCGCCATGTTCATCACTATATAATAAAGAAAATGCTCAAATTTCATTTTAATTACATGCTTTCATTTTTCTTCTGGATCATCGGGTAAGGTGGTATTAATTGGAGGCCGAGATGAGGGTGGTTTACTAACATTTGCTTTTTTATCTGAAGATGATATACTTCCCTCAGCTTCTGGCAAAGTTTTCTTTAACTTCCTCACTTACATCAGTTCTCGGTAATGTTTTCTTGGCTTCCTCGCCCATTTCGGCTTTCAACTCGGATGGTTTAGTCACATTGATCATATTAGTCAACTTCTTGGGAAAAATCTTTTATAATATTTTGAATTTTGAATATCGAAATAGCTCTTGCACTGTAAATTACTTGGTTAATTTTATCTATTCCTATTCCTTCAAACAAAATATAGATTTTTTTTGCCCTAAAAGTTATTTTACGCAAGTTTACATCAATAATGTCAGGTAGAAGCGATTTGATTTCATTATATACCAATGTCCTTGTAGATTTGCCATCAATTTTATTCATAGATATAATATTCCTGATTCTATACTCATATGCTATATAGTAACAACACCAGCAGAAAATTTCCTTTTGCCTAACCTTCATTGCTATATTAAATAAATTGGCTATATTTTGTGCTGTAACTCTACTAGATCCCATTAGAATCGCTTCAAAAGAGAATTCAGGAATTTGGATATCAAGTGAATCATTGGGCGTAATTCAAGCACAAGATGCATTAATTTCGTTATCATTTTCTTTAATACAAACAGATAACTCATGTCTTAAACCTTGCTCTACTTTTTGATCATACGGAATTTTTATTTTGGAAAAATGGCACTTTGTATGCTCTGGTTCTCATTCTGATGAATGGATGTTTGCTCCGATTCAGTACATTAGTGCCGAGATTTTGATTGGTTATTATTCTACTCATGGGGAATAATGGAGGAGTATCCTGAGAAGTTAAGAGTACCTCTTGAGTTCGAAGCTTCTTTTCCCTTATCATATTACTAGAGTTGTTCCATGCGCATGAAAAAAAATGCAATGCGCATGATTTTTTTTCAAATCATGCAATGTCACATACAGAAAATGCAGAAATTAAATTTTATATAAATCTCATAGTAGTATATTTGGCAACTCATGGAGATATCTACCAATAATGTGGATTTATTTATTAATATGGTGGAAAGATAATTTTGGAACTGTGGCACCTGAATTGACAAAAGTTGTGGTAAGAGTTCTTTCTATTCCTATCCCATCAACTGCAGTAGAAAGGAATTGGTCTACGTTTTCTTATATACATAATAAAAAATAAAATAAATTGACAAATGATCATGTTTTTAAATTAGTTTATATATATTTTGATAATAAATTGAAACCTCCAAAGATAAGTAAAGTTACAAATGTAGGTGAAGATATTGATGATAGCGATGATGACAATAATGATGATACTGTTGATGATAGTGATGACAATGTTGATAATGTTGATAATAGTGATATTAAAAGTGATGATGGAAATGAATTATCTGTAAACATTTAATTTTCATAAAGTATGTAAGTAATGCCGAAGTGATTTTTCTTAAAAAAAAAAAAAATGCACTGCATGAAATGCAATTTCCCATCCATACATATTACCAACCCTTTCTTTATGTCGCAAATCCATAAAATTACTGACCTCTTTATCTTCTGACGATTTAGTTTCTGTGGGGAATTAATTTCGAATGAAATCTCTGGACCTTTTTCTTCGTGGTGATCTTGAGTCGTAGATAGTGTAAACGATGTTTAATAAACTCATAGAAAACCATATGATTTTTGTATTATTATTTTGCGGTTGCCAATGTTCCATCCTCTTTTAATATTATCACCTGTTACTATTACTATTACTATATTTTTCAAATTCGACGGTCTCTCACCTGCATTATAATGTTGTGTGACCTTAGTTTTTAGCACAAATATAATTAATAATATGCTTGGCAAAATTTTTAAATTTATAAATGTCGTTGATCCGGTAAATTTCATTGTATTAGTAATAGTAAACGGTAATCGATTTTTCGTCCCATGATATAAAAAAACTATGATTCATTTTTATATTAAACTTTGATGATCAGTATTATTTACCAAATGTTGTGACGTCAGATGAATAAGGATATAATAATTGGGTTAGTTAGTGTTCGCCAGTATTGTTTGCTTACATAACTATGAAATAATCGTTATGAAATTTATTCATAATAATGTAAAAATAAAACAATACATCCGAAAATTTAATTTAAATTGAAGTAAAATTCTTCACTTGAGTATTAAAATTTCTTAAAAGAAAAAAAAGAAAAAAAGAAAAATGTTACAAGCAACTTTACCATTCGAGCTTTTAGATGAAATATCCAATTGCATTGAAGGTGATCATGGGACATTATATTCATGCGCTTTAGTTAATAAACAATGGCACTATGCTAGCATTCCAAAATTATGGAGAGAACCATTTTATTGTAAAGACAGCACCAAAATATTAATTAATTGTTTATTTGCACAAGATAAGGATTTTTTCAGAATAAACTGCATTGAATTACCTCTTGGTTTATTACTGGATAAACCACCAATGCACAATTATGGTATGTTTGCTACTTATTTGGATTTTGACCAAAATTTTAACGATGTATTAGATGAGATAATAGACACAAATCAATGTTTGAGAAAAAGATTACTAGAATTTGTTTTAGAATACTCAATCATTAGAGGATTTGCAATCTTTGAAAATAATTGCAATTGGTTGGTTAGCCATCATGGATTTGATACGTGGTTCCAGAAACTTGGTGAAATAACCTGCGATCATTCAAATAAATATAAATTTTTTCATAGATTAGCTAATACTTGTGAAAATATTCAAACTTTGAGAATATATTTCTGTTCATTTAATGAGAAATCCAGTTATGGATTAATACAATTAATTAAAGCTCAAAAGCGAATCAAAAAGTTAATCCTACATGGTGGCTATGATAATCCAATTTTATCAGACAATTTAAAAGAAGCATTATCGATCCATTCACAATCAATAGTTCATTATGAAGGTCGAGGAGAAACTGGTTTGGATTCTTTAATAGGAACATTTCGCAATTTAAAGATTTTAAAATTAGAGTTGTCTAATGATGAAACAGAAGTTTTAGAATCTATCAAATCAATTTCATTTCCAAGTATTGAGACAGTAGATTTATATATCACTTGTCAGTCATTTCTATCAAACATGTCAGAGTTTATTAAAGTCAATGGAAGGAATTTAAAAATTTTGCATATTAATGGTGATCCAGAAGATAAAGATTGTTTAGGAGAATTATTTCAATCAATCAGTCAATATTGTCAAAATCTTGAAAGGTTATCCATCTTTTATAATAATGAGTTAGATAAATGGTTATTAGAAATATTCAAAAATTGTGATAAATTACAATATATTAGATTAAAAGCACCCCATTGGAAATATATATTTAATGGTGATAAAATAATAACAACTTTGAATCAGTCATTACCAAGATGTTTAGAAGATATACATTTTGTCCAAAACATTGATTTTTATGACAGGGATTCTTTAAGTGTCTTAATTGATAGCTGGAGAGGACCTTACCATTTTATCAAAATAATAAAAACATTGTCAGAAATTTAATACTTTAATAATATATGTATTAGTTTTTTTAATTTTTAATGATAAACTTGACATTCCTCTTAATTCTCCCAATTTCAATTAATTATATACATTTTAACACTATTACCTCTTACACTCTTGCTACTAGCATTATTGCTACCATTAACTATCGAAAAAAATATCAAAATATAAAATAAAATTTTAAAATTTAAGTAAGATAGATCCTGAAAGTGCTCTCCACCTGAACTCGACACACAACACACTTATCAATCATACTAGAACAATTTTCACATGTAACAAAGTGATTACATGGTGAAAAAGAATGTGTTATAGGTTCCTCAAAACATACTTTACACTTGATAATTTGATTCATGTTATCTTTTTGATCTTTTTCACGAAGTTTTTTCAAATCTTCAATCTTCATTGCTAATACTTTTATGATTTCTACATATCTACTTGTTCTATTAATAAATAAATCACATGTCTCCCTCTCTTTAACCAAATCTGCCTTTAATTTTCCCACTTCACCACTATATAAACTTTTTAAACTTGATATTTCTTTTTTTTGATTTTCTAATTTTGAAATGTATCCTTCAACGGTTTTATTCTTATTGTGAAGTTCTTCTTCCAAACATGAAATATTTCCTAATAACTGATTCGAAAAATTTTGTAAGGAAGATATGTCTTGATCATTAAGCTTGCACCTTTGATTATCATTTTCGTTTATTAGCTCTCCATTTGTTTCCTCAAGCTCCTCAATTATATTTTCATAAGTGTTGCATTGAGATTCAAAAATGGCATTATCTCTCAATAATTGTCTATTGATTGAATCTAATACTTTGAAATTTAAATCTAAAGTTGTCTTGCAATTCTCCAACCTTGTAACTTCGCCTTTTAATTGAATATTATCAATTTTTCTTCTATTGCTTTCATTTATCAATAATCTTTTGGTTGCTTCTGCTTGGTTTTTTTCTTGCTGATACTTCAAACATTTGTCTTCAAGCTTTTTGTTTTGTTTCTCAATGTTGTTCAATTTTGTCAAGAGTTGCTTGTTGTCATTTTGAACAATTTGTAATTCTTCCAATCGTTGTTTATTTGAATCTGAAACGCGAAGGTTCAACTTTTCAATCATATTACTATATTCTTTTTTCTGAAATTCTTGATTTTTAGTACGAAGTTTGAATTCTTCCATCTTTTTTTTTACATTTTTATATAATTTTTATTGATACAGAAAAAATGGTGTTTTTTAATTTTTTTTTTTAATTCGATCTATCCAATAAAATCAAAATAGATAAAAAATACCATTTTTCTACTAAAAAAATTATCCGAGAAAATGTCAACAAATGATCCCTTAACCAATAAACTTAATCCAACAACTTCTTCCACTTTAACTATTAGAGTGATAAAAAATTTTGAATATCGAACTGTTAAAAGTATCGTTTTATCAAATATAAATTTAGAAACTACAACAGTTTCTCAATTAAAAAAAATCTTAATCGAAAGTATTTATTTTTTTTACTTATTTTTCAAAAAACCTTTTTTCAACTATTTATTATTCTATTTATTTTTTTTTATAGAAATTAATACTACATCAAAATTTGCTCCTTTCCGTAACGTGATTTATGGTATTGAATTAAACAAAATATATTAAATTCTAGTTTTATTTTAGAATTTAAATAATTGATAATTTTTGTTTTTTTTATATTTTTTTTTTTTATAAAAATAAAGACACTTTAAAGATTTATACAAAAGCTCATGGATTCAAAGTAATTAACTAATTATGATAATGATGATAATTATAGTTGTAGCTATAGTGACATTTATATTTGTAATTATATTTAGAATCAAAATTTAGTTATAAATACAGATCATGATGAATGGTTATTAAACAATGAGAATGAAACTTTGATTTCTTATGATATTGGTGAGTGAATATATTTATTTATTATATTTATTATCTAAAGAATTATATTTTTTTATTTTAATGAAAATTTTTATTATAAAAGAGAATGAAACAGAATTGTCATTTTTCAATTATGAAGCTTATAATAATTATAAATCACATCCAGATCAAAAATGGGATTGATAAATAATATCTGTGATGATGAATAAATTGGAAGGAAATTTTTAACCCAAAAGATTGTTGTGTATCAGATGTCTTACCATTTTTAATAAATCTTAAATTGTATCCCTATCTATGTATATATATATATATATATATATAACATACTCTTTAACAAGAAATTCTAAATTTGTTTTAAGAGTATAATTCCTAAATGGTTATGATCATCAAGTGAATATACTAACCAAAGGAATTTCGTACCCAAGCCACTTTTGCATTATTTCAATTTTGGTTGGGCATCCAAGCCTCGTTTATATCCCTCAGTTTTAGTTTTTAGTTGCTGGTTGAGCCGGAATAAAAACTTATCTGTTCTAAAACAATATAAATTTATATCCTTATTTTGTACGTATGTGATTTCCCGTATAATACGAATATTTTTTTCTTAGAGGCTGTGGCAAAAATAAAGATGTATGTTTGTTAATAAATAATATTTTGAACTAATTAAAGGCTGTGGTAAAAGAAAATGTTGAATTAGAGCAGAGAGGCTGTAATAAAATTAAAGTTAAAACTAATATGGGCAGTATTGATCTTACCAAATTAAGTAAAAATCGACAGATTAGTTACTTAGTTTGGTAAGATCAATACTACTGTAATTGGTTCCTTTCTGCTTGTCGCGCCCCATATGGGAAGGTTATTGTGGTTATTAGAACCTCTCAAATCTATAAAAAAACCTCGACTTTGACTTGTTCATAAAAGGCATTAAAGATCCACCACAAATATCGATAACTACAAAAAATTATCGACGGAAAATGTACAGAAAACAATACAGTTCATGCATGTACTGTTTTTCCGTATGTTATTTTTATAGGGCCGGCGAAGAAGAAGAGTCAAAAATCCCTCTCCAAGATAGAAATAATCGAAAAATTTTGGAACAGTGCGATTTTGCTACTGAGGAAGATGCTAGGTATATTCTAATATGGTGTATGCTGCAACAAAGTGAACATTATGTCACATAAAGATTTCAGTGGTCAAAAATTTAGCCATCACCAATATATAACGTGGTCATGATTTAATGACTTTATAATTTGTTTCTGCTTATTATTTAAATAAACTCATAATACACATCCAAGACAAATTTTTGTGTCTATTGCAATATTCATGATGATTACGCAATGTATTTGATGTTATTATTAGTTGCATCGCTCAAGTAATAATCCTGATGGCTTAATTTTTGTAATTAACTATATTAATTCATCCTATTTTTCCCTGTGCCAGAGATCATCTGCCTCGTGGTGATTATGGGGTCAATTTCTTGAATATAGGAGAAGCTTTAACAGGGCTATTCAAATAACGAATAAATTGAAGAGTCTCCACCCATTTCCTATAATTTTTCATTGCATCATATCCTGAGGTTAGCTTTCATTTCTTTGGCAAATAAAAATAATCAATGTCAGATGTAAATAATTATTAATTCAATAACAATTTTAATCTTATAATTATTAGAAGTTTTTTTTCATATTGTTTTGGAAACATAATGGGATTTATTTCTAGATCGTTAATCTATCAAATTACTCTAGAACAAAAAAATTTGTAATTATATAAATAATTGTATTATATACGAAAAGTTATAATTGCAGTATTTATATTTAGAAATGCATAGTTTTGGAATATTATCATTTCCATATGGAGAAAATTCTTCATATTGAGAAAATAAATAAATTATTTATTTATTTAAAAATAATTATAAGATTCTTGAATTGCCAACAAGTCATCCATTATTCTTTCAACCGTTGTACCGATTTGTTTTGTCATCTCACGTTGCCTATGTAAGGCAAGATTGGGAAATTGGAATAAGAGGTCACCGTCCAATATTCCTTTTGATGGATTAATTGCTAATCGCATTTTTGATTGTAGTAATCTAATTCAAAAGTTAACAATAAAATATTTTTAAATTTAAATTTTCTATTAAAAAAACCAAAAACAAAAAAAGAATACCTAAATGATTTTGGATTTAAGCCTGCTGGATGTTGTATTCCATTAACCATTTGAGAATATAAAAGTTGCATTCGTTTATAAGTTTTTTCTGTTATCGGCGTGATCATTCCAATACTTCCGTCAAGTGTTCCTAACATGAATTTTTTAATAAAAAAATATTATTATTATTTAATTATTATTACTTATTTTATCAAATTTTTTCTTATTTACCACATAAACAAAGTTGTTTGTTTCTACCGATTTCTTCTGAAGTCTTGGATGAAAATTCTAAATCAAAGTCATGATCTTTACGTATAACTTCTTTTTTAGGTAACGTGAGCATTGTTTTCACTTGGGATCCAACATGGAAATCACCGCGGCGGATAAGTTTTTGACCAGCAAAAGATTGCACATCTTTAAAAATTTTCCAAACAATTATTTTATTTTTTTTATTATTTATATATATTTTGATAATTTTTTTTACAAATATATATATGTTGGGTAAAAAATTTTTTTTAAAGAAAGAAATTAAAACTAACTTACTATATGGAGCATATTGAAACATATGAATATTTTTATCCATATCAGCTACAACAAAATATAGTGCTGGCTCATCTATCAAAAAACTTAAACAACTAACTTCCAAAGAATTATAATCTTTGCCAACTAAAACCAATTTTGCTGGTTCTTCCTATAAAGAAAAATATAATTATTTAACATAAAATTTTGGTGTTAATAAAATTTTCAATCGTCAATAAACTCATACCTGAAATCCAAGAAACCATACACTTTTATATACATCTCCCAATAGTATAAAATCTTTAATTGATACTACATTACTTGCATATAGTTGTATATCAATAAATGCAACACTAATAAGACAATCATTATCTTCAAAGGCACGTATAAATATCTTTAAAACATCAAAAAAGTAAATATCTTTAACTTGAATTTTTGAATTTTTTTTTTTTAAATAGAGAATATGTATTTCAATACCTTTGGCCCAACACATGTTAATAAATATCCATTTACATCACAAATAGTAGTTACGGAGCCTTTAACTTCTTCAGCACAAAGTAATTTAAATTTATGATTTGTTTGAGGATTATCAGGTTCCGGTACAACTTCAATAATTTCAAATACATATATCTAAATCAAATAATTCAAATGTTGGAGAAAAATTTGATTAATTTGTATATACTTGAATAATATATAAATATATAAATATATAGACTTACATTTCCTCTCATTCCCACATCTTCCCCACGGAAAAATCCTGTGCCAACAGCTATAAAAGGTTTTCTGCCACTGGAGGTTGATTTTGTTTGAAGACTAACACATTTTATACAAAGACCTTGTTCATCTTCTTGAAAATCATGTCTATAAATAATAAAGTTATATAAATATACAGTCATTTTAGTTAATTTTATACTTTTTAAAGGATTATCACATACTTGTCCACAGTTTCCCATGTGATTGGGGATATTAACTCTAGTGTAAAATTTTGCGTCTCTGGCAAAAATTGTGAACTATCTGTTTATATGAATATCACTCGATTCATTAGATATAAAATATACGTAGAAATTAAAGTTCTTTGTTTTTAAAATAATGGCAATAAGTAATAATCAGTTACCCCCATCAACATCTGTTGGAACTCCATTCTCATCTTTCATATGAAATTCAATTGGTGTAGATGTCATTAGTGCATATACTTGCATTTCAGGATGATATTCAATACCATGAACCGATCTCCCAAGCGAGATTTTCCTTACTGGCCATTCCATGTCATATAAAAATTCTTTAGATAATTCAGAAAACCTACAGTCATCCTAATTCCCATATATAATATATAATAAATATATTTATAAGATTCACTAATTCCAAAAAAATACACATATTATCATTTAATAAATACCTCATTATTAGTATATAAAAATCCATTTTTGCAATGAACATTGTGGAATGGGGTAAAACTTTTTATTTCCCCATCAGCATTCATCGGATGCAACCTCAAAAAATTATTATTGGCACAAATTATCCAAACAGGTTTAGCACCGGTTACAAATACCCCTGTAAATCCAGCAATGTTTGAGAATGGTATCAATCTTCGTTTATTTAATCTAAGTTGTTCTTTACGTGACTCTAAATTGTTTTTTATTTGTTCTTCTTCAATTTCATTAATATCTTGTTGATTATTTTTACTTGATACAGGTTTGTCATGAATATCGCTGTATATAGATTCTCTTGAAATGTACTCGTGAGATACTCGTGAAAATCTTATTGCAAGATGATCGGATAATTCACCTTGCGATTGTGATTTTTGGAAAGGATCAAATATATCAGAGCCAGGAATATATCGAAATGCTTTATATATTATAATATCACCGACACTGGTCCGAGCCTAAAATCAAATATACATATACATACATACATATATATATATATATATTATTTAAATAATGATCAATAAACATTGTGTATAATAAACATACTCTAAAAAGAACATCATTACTATAAGATATGTGTCCTTTTTGTGTAATCCAAGATTCTTTAATAAAATTTCTTGAATATCAGCCGTTTTTCCTGGTGTCTTTATATTTTGTCGTGTAAAAAATCCCACAAGAACAGTTGGGGTCATATCAAAATGTGGAAAATGAAATACTTCTTGTAATTCGGGAAGTTTATAAATCTATTAACGTAAATATTATTAATATAAGAACATAGTTATAATGTGTATGTACATATTCTAGAAATAGTCATATAAAAATACCTCCAAAGAGCCATCTTGTCGATATATCACACACCAATAACTTTCTCTTTTAGTATTCTTAACAACTCCACTCACATTCTCTTCATTTACTTCACCAACAACCTGTAATAAATCATCATCAACCATTTCATCATTAGCTTCTAATAAATCATCGTCATTACTTTTAGACTCATTAAAAAGTTCATCTAATTCATCATCAATTGGCATTGATGTACTTGGTTTATTTTTTTTGGTAAAGTTATTGAATTCATTAAATTTTTTAAGTGGTTCAACATCTTTA